ATTTCTTCCTAAATTCTTTCTTTTTTTCGTCCCTCATATCCTCCCTGGTGTGTGTGTAGGTGTATTAGTAGTTAAGCAGAGCTAACTTTTCACATGGAGTCTTATATGAAACCGCAATACTTAGAGCAGAGAAAACTCCACAGAGCACTGGAGTTCTGAGGAACACAGCTGGGTAGTGCAGCTGGGTAGCTACACCTCCAGTGCATTCTCCAGATTATCACCAATTCTCTAGAAGCCACCTGTCTGTACCCACCGGTACCGGTCATATTTTCTGAAATACGCAGAGTAGGCAATGCTACAATATCTGCAAATACCAGAAATCAGACCCTTGAATCTCACTCAGGGTTCAGCTGCAGAGAACTGAACTGACTCCAGCTTAAGCAAAAGTTATTTTGTAAATGGCTTGCAGAATCTTTGGGCTAAATTTTCCCTGTAGAACTGGGATGCTACAGAACCCACTAGACAAACAGGTAGCTGCCAGCAGCCCCGACTCTCAGTGCTGTCAAGCTAGTGACTGTGCCCTGGGATGAAGACAAATAATGCTGAAGAAAATTCAAAAGCCTCCACAAGTGCTTTGGTTTGTCCTTTTGGGACCCTGAGCATTTGCTGTTCCAGAATGGGTCCATGGTATAGGGAATTCTCTGACCTTTTCTTTGATCATACCCTAAAAACATCAGGAACGTGTCCCAAATCTACTGACCTGCTATGAAACTCCCTTCTGTAATCTTTCATTTGTTTTTTAACATTTCAATCACTCCTGGTGCTTAGGAACACAAACTTCATAAATGTTTCATTACTCTATAAAGCAATACTTATCATTTGTCTGAAATTTGTTTCTCTTTTAATTACCCAAGGGATAGCTCTTCACGCCAACAACCTAATATAAGCCGTATAGTCGTTGCCCACAGCACCTCTAGGCTTTCTGCTTGTGGATGGGGGTTCCCTCAGTCATTTGCTCTAAACTTCTGCCCATTTTTGTGCACAGGAGGGGAGATTCTGGCAACCATGAACCTTTTTTTTCCTTAAATCCTCTCCACTCTCACTTTTATTACCACCTTGGAATAAAAGGACAGCCACAGAGATACTCAATTCATACCCATGTTGAGAATATTCTCCCACAATTAGCCTAAAATCCTCCCAAGCCTTTTAAATTCAATCTTGTTTGTTGAGTCTGAGTGTTTAAGGGCAATTTGTTACAGAAGTGGGACACCTCTGGCTGCTGGGCTGGTTAAGGAGGTCTCTTTTTGAAAGCTCCCACTCAGAATATGGTCAATAAAGGCCTTTGGCTGCAGCCAGAAGGAAAATGGTGCTGCTCTTGATTCCACAGGGGTTTTATTTTCAAATTCCTGAGGGCACAGAGAAGGATGGGAACATCTTGTGGCTGCCCTTTCCCCAAAGCCGACTGTGGAGCAGCCCACGCCTGCCCCTGCCCGTGGTGACATTCCAGACAGGGATTCATAAGGCAGTGATGACTAAAAACAAACTATTCCATCATTAAGACCCAGCCCTAATATCAGCAGGACAATTTTTCATGGAAATAATTTCTCAAACCAAACTGGATTGCAAAGCGATTTTTGTTTCATTTTGTAGACTTCCTTTCTCCTAATCTCTGTTTTCACCGGAGAGGGGGAAAGAGAAATGATATAAATTCCACTGAGATTTTCATCTGGGCTCTGGGTGGGTGGAGTGCACGGGAACCCACCACTCTGTAGGAGTAAAGATTTAGACTGGTCTTGTTATAAATCAGAGCCGCTGAGCAAATTTCTTTCTGTACCTTTCTGCTTTGTAAATCTCCAGGAATGGCTAGTTGGCCCTCAGCATCAGAATGGCCTTGTGAGTTTGCTGAAATCTGGCCCTGCCTGCAGTCCCAGAATGCCTCTCCCAAATGAGCAGCTCACATCATACATGCAAGGCAGCTGCTGAGGGAAAGTATCATACAAACACCAGCGATGTCTAACTTCTCTGTCCGTAACAACGACTTGCAGCTCTACCTTCTCTCTCCTCCGTATCTTCTAAAAACCTCCCCGGGAAATGTACTATGTGCAGCCTCCCTGTGCTCTTCACATCCCCTAAATATGCTAAAGTAATACAAAGGAGGAATTATTCAAGTGGAAAATGATTAAGAAGGCAAGTTTATCTCCAGGCACAGGCTGCCTCAAGTGAGATCCCTCTAGGGAGCGGGAGTGGTTTGAGGATTCCATCCAACCCGGATCAGCTCTCAGGATGCCCGCCTCCAGGAAGCTCGACCTGCACCGGGGAGGGCACCAGTGACACACTGTGCATGTGCAGAAGCTGCAGCTGGGCTTTCCCAAGGGCCCCATTCTGGGCTGGGAGGCCACCCCCGTGGTGTATGACATTTCTGGGGTGACACACAGGGCAGCCTTTGGGGCGAGCAGAGGGAGGCATTACTTCTTGAGTACAAAACCTAAGCCCTCCCCCCAAATTCAGATAAATAATATTTTCAGGTATACAGACAAATTCAGATTCAGATAAATCAAGATGAATAATATTTTCATGTGATAGTTTTAAAAATCAAAATGAATGCAAAAATCTATGATGAACAAACTATGCAAATTTTAACTAAAGACAGGATCAACAGGGCTTTGGAGTGATCTTAAAATTCTGTGAATATAAAATGTCAATGTAGAGATGCCAAAAGGTACCCAGGGTTTACAAATGGCACCAACAGCGGCTTTGCAGACGGTCACAGCTCAGTCACCAATCTGCAGTTCCTGAGGCCTCGTGGAGTCATGTCTGTGCTCCTCTGCCACTGAGTGCTGGAGGACATTTCCTACTCCAGGCACCCCAGCTCTCTGGGTAGCTTGCTTTTCCCAGTAGCCTGTGTTTGGCGTTAAATAAAGCCATGCACATGGGGATTTTCCCAAACAAGGCTGAGCAGGGCCCCTGGCAGAGAGCCTGTGTTTAGACTCCTCCCTGACTCATACTTTCCTGTTTATTTCCCATCCTGGCTCAACTGAATTACGCCATGAGTCCAGGTGCGCCCAGGAGAATATTCCCAAATCGGCCACAGGGAGGCAGTCAAGGGCAGCGTCAACTGCACTGGCCCAGTGCCAGCCTCATTTTCTGGAACCAGAGTTCCTCTTACTTGGACAAACTTCTCATTCCTCTCTTCTACGCTCACTGTATTCCTTCATTTTTATCCGGTAATTGTAAAAATCGCAGGCCAGAAACCCCTCACGGAGCTGAAAGAATAAAAACCTCAGATGCATTTTTTAATCTGCTGTGACTGCTCGACAGAACTTCACCGCAAGATGCACTCAGAGTATAAAACGGAGCATTTTGCAAAAGCACAGCCACCCCATGAGAAAACACCAGCCGCCCTCAGCAACCGCTGGGGCAGGGCTGCCAGGGGGCCCTGCTGCCTCTCCCCTTGAGTAAGGCCAGTATCTACCTGCACTGCCAACCGCACTTGGCTGCTGGGGGGAGTTCTTGCCTGTAAAACAAAGGGTCCATTATCCCACAGACTCAGTGTTCCCCAGGGATGGGGGAAGGTGCATAGGCCTTTATTCTTATCTTCATTTTATTTTGCAAAGGACACGTTATCTTTACAGAGACTTGAACCTCACTCATTTCCTGCAAGGCCCAGAGAAGAAATTCCATTCCTGGCTGGCTCCGGCGCCCAACACGAGTAGGATTAAGAGAGCACAGAGCTGTAATCCAGATGGAAAGCCTCTGCCTGGCAGTGATGTGGGGCCTGTGTCATCTTCACACTGCTCCTTAGGTAAGACTAACAGAAACTGGAGGCCTAGACTTCCCACTTGTGCCATTTAATTAAATATGTGATCTAAAAAAAAAAAAAAAAAAGGAAAAGCAGATACGCTGTGGCTTTTGTATCTCATTTGTAAAATGAGGGCCCTGGATGATTAACCTAAGATGAAGTATATATAAATTTTAGTGTTAAAAATCAATATTGATAATGCAAATAACAATAGGCTTCTTGTTTGTTTCTTTGTTTCTTTTAAGGACAGATAGGACAATGTCTGAACTCAGTCTGCTCTGGTTGTCATATGCAACCAAGGAAACAAAATCAGGACACCTCCCCACAGCTTTCTTCTCTCTTCTTCTTTACACAAGGCATTTGCTAGGCTTTATGTGGCAAAATCCAGCTGTCTTCTGCAGCAGCCAGACCCTGAAGCCTTTTGTGGGTTGATCCTGTTCCTGGCCCTCTCTCCCCTGTTATCTGTCTGCAAACTCAAGATACTGAGGCAGAACCTGAAAATGGCAGGTGAAGCGTATGAAACACCACACCAGTGGTGTACACTGCAAAGAGACCTAAATCCTCATGACCTGTGCATGTAATTAAAGGGCCGGAAAAAAACCACAAAAAAAGGAAAAGCACAACAAGATAGAAAGTGAACACCCAGCATGAAGGAAACAAACGATAAGGCGGATAAACTCCTGCTTTTCTTAAAAGCTTGTTAGAGGGAAAAGCTGTGCCAAATATGTGCCAAGCTCCTCGGTACTTTTGTGTGGTGGGGGCAACAGACCCCATTCATGGCTTCCCCTAACAGTTAAGGGTGTTGGCCACACTGCACCTTTTCTTTCTGGAGCCATTCCTGTCCTCCCCCAGGATGCCAGACAGAGGCATGGGGCTGGTGCAAACCCACATGACTGGGTTCAGAAGCCACCCATCCAGGTTTCTGAGACTGGGGTCCTCTTGAGAAGTGAACTCACTCCACCGTCTCTCCCTTGCTATTCCTTATACTAGGAACACAGTCCAGTACACTAGCCTCTTGTGCCAGAGGCTGACCCCAGCCAGATCTGCATGTTCCCAGCCCTAAAGATACAGCTTGGACTTGCTGCTTCCTCTGGAAGTGAATCCTCAATGCTTGATGTTAAATCAGTGAAGTTTCTCAGTACTTGTGTTTTTACAAACAGGATCAAGTTCACATTTGGATGCAGGGGCATGTGCTCATAAGCATACAAATACACATACACAGTAATAAGGGGGGCATCACATAGTGCCTTCTAAGGCTTACCCAGAGATCTTTCTTTTGTTTGGTTGGTTGACCTCACCACCGGAAGGCTCGCTCGTGTCCGGCTGCCTCTGGAAAAAGGACTTAGAGCTTCTCCTTCAGACATGGCTTCCAAAGAATCACCAGACGTCTCCGACAAATGCTCGACTGGGTCACCAAAATTGGGAGGTTGAGGACTGTGAGACAGTTTGGGGCTTCTTGTCTGCAAAGGATATTTAAAAGAACGTGGGAAAGTAGATTTTACTAAGTATGCTGACAATATTTTTAATGCCATCCAGGGCTGCCCATCTAGAAAAACAACATGACAAGGGGGGAATCCATTGGAGGGACTAGACATTGAAAAGTAACAACCCAGTAGGTCAAAATATCAGTTGTGAAAGTTACAAAAAGCCATATTGTTCCTGAGTATTCCATTAAGATTTTTATCACTGGACATCTCCCATACAAATGCCATCTTGAACAAGGACTTGAGGGCAAGCCACACTGTAGGAAAGAATGATGGCAAATCAATTCCTATTGTCAGACAAATTCTTATCAGTTGTTTTCACAACAGACAGGATTATGCACATTTATATATACCTAAATGGATGATGCACTCACACCAGAGTGAATTGAACACATCCAGCCCTTCAAAGTCTTGTATCAAGACTGTTTCTGACATCAATAAACTTAGATTGTGAGGGAGATACTCATATCACAGCTTTATTTTTTTTCTTTTGAGGCAGAAATCTCATAGGTAAGATTATTTGGCCAATCAGCAGAAAGTATCTATAAGGACTCACACACACAGCATATAACTGAATTTCTCTCTTAGATGTCTATACGGTAACGGCAGACGACTGATGTGTAAAATGTTCATCATCTATTAGTCAGTAACAGCCCTTGAACATGTACTCCTGGTTAAGCACTGCAGGAGATGCAGGAAAACAGACAACATGCAGACTGATGTCCAAGAGCTTCAAAATTAATTGGTGAAATTAGTGAAGACAACAAATAACACAAGACAGTGTATGATTATGTGTTCATCCATTCATGCTTCCAACAGACACCTGCTGAGCACCTGCTGTGCTCCAGGCACCGTACTAGGTACTAGGGACGATGATGCACAGACAGAGCCTGCCCTCATGGTGCTTACCATCTAGTCAGGGGACTGACACTGAAGACAAATTAAAGGTGCAGTAAGAATGTGCAACTCAAGGTTGGGGTGGCAGAGAGCTGGAAAAGCATATAAAATGTGATTTCAAGAAAGAGGAAAGTTGGGAGGCAGGCCAGAGGGTAGGGAAAAAGAGAGGGAAAGGCATTCCAGGTGGAGGGGACAGCAGATGCTATGTCCCCAAGGCAGAAAGGGAGTGGCAGGCACCAGGACTTGGTGGGGCTGGTGTCCAGCAGAGACTAGAACACACAGAGCCTTGGAGTCCTGGACTCAAGAGAATTCTCAGTTTGACTGTAAGGCACCAGAAAGCCATTGAGGTATGTTAGGCAGGGAAAGGGGGAGGTGGCCAGGATCAGATGTGGTGTTCTAGATAACTTAGGCTGTTGTGTGGAGGTTGGAGATTATATATTTGGAAGGTCAGAGAAAAGAAGTCTTCAAAACTGGGGGATTAGGCTGAATGAATACATGCCCTCGGCTTTCCCCTAGTCTCACAGCCTGCCCCTGTATTGCTACATGATTCTAGGCATCTTCCAGAAGGCAAACTGATCTGGATTAATCAGGCAGGTGAGTTTTTTTCTCACTCAGGTGCCAAAGGTGCTGACAGCATGGGGTGGGACACAGACAGTCAGTCCACAGTAGCCAGTTTTTTGGTTTGTCTGTATTCCTTGATTCCCGTTAAGTCTTCCTAAATTTGCAATGTACTTTGAAGTTAAGCACTGAGGTCCTTAACTCTCAAGGCAGGGACAGCTTTGTGGCCATACAATCTCTGCAGTCAACCCTTACAAAAGGCTCTGAGCTTAGTTTCATGCTCTGCTATGGTTTTCTTGAAATTCTCAATGATTTTTGGAACAAGATACACTGAAAGCTATGTAGACGGGTCCCTGCCTCAAGGCTTCGGCTACAGAACTCTTTCAGGAGTTCCCCACATGTGCCTGATACTCTAGGGAACACTTTGAGGATGGAATGATCAGCTTCTTTTTCTTCTTTCTTGCTGAAAAGTACAAGGAGACTCCTCTTGGTAAGAGCACTGTTTTATTATCGTGACACCGCAGCTTGCTACATCTCTAAGGACCTTCCCATGAAGGAAGACAGGAAGACAGGAACACGGTCAGCACACAGCCCCGGGCACTCCCTTCTGTGTGGGATGTGGCTTCGGGGAGGTGTGAGCTGGGTGTTCCATAGGAAACTCTCAGCTCAATTACATGCTGCTATCCCCACCAGAAAGAACACCCATAAATAGTTAAACTGTCTCTCTGGGCCAATTTTTCTGTGCAAGCCCCCAGAGTGGTTTATTCCCAGATTTATTTTCCAGAAAGTCTGCTTCTGTTACAAAGACCAGGATCAGGCTTTGGTACTCTGTAGGAATATTCCTGGACTAGCAGAGTCATCCCTAAATCACTGCCCAGCTCCCCAGGATTTAGATGAATTCATATGGTCTTCAAGGAAGTAGCTACATGATTACTAGGCTTAGCAGAACATCAAGGTAGGATGTCCACATCACCGACTTAAAAAAAAAAGTGCATTCAGTTTAGCAAAATAGCCAAGAAATAATATCAGTTTAGGCAACCTGGCCACACTGACAACCTCTGATGCTTGGTCACCTTTGTGGCCCTGATGCCTGTGATGTGTTGTCATTTTTCCATTGCAAAAGGCAATAAATAATCCTTGAAGAAAATCAGAAGCCAATTTCTATTTCTTGTTTAGGGTCATCGTGGTGGTATTGTCTGTATGAGATTACCGCCTGTCAGTCACCACGCTGCGGGACTCTACAGGTGGTATTCTACCAAATAAAGGAACTGGGCACCAGTCTGTCAAATTCTCAAGCTGACACTCAGGGGTAAACTCATTCAAATGACTAAAAATAGAGATGTAAGGGCTAAGTTTTTTTAAACTTCATTGACACAGCTACTTAGATCTGAACATAAATTCCTTCTCTCGTCTTTGTCTTCCCTCTGTCATTCACTTCTCACTGCAAACTATCACTGCGTATTAGCAATCTCCTCGCATGGCACTCTCTCCTCAGATGCCAGCTCACCGCTGAGCCATCATTTAGTGCAGAGAAGAGACAATGGAAATTGCTGACATTAGTGTCACATATTCTGCGATGTGATATATGAAAAAAGAAGAGTCAAAAAGCATTTGGAACAGAGATTGTGTACTCAGGATGGTGGTTGGCTCTGGATGTTAGAAGTGCTGCATATAAGCTCATCACACAGTTTAGTTATATTCTGGGGCCAAGGATAATATACATAAAACAGTTGGCCAAGAATAGCTAAGAGGTGTGTCACTGTGATGGCTTCATGGAGACCCATGACACTAGCCCATCTTCCTGTTTGCATCACAACTTTCAAGAGGTTTCCCCAAATCATCAGGTGACCCCAAAGGGATGAATATGGGGTCACGCAGAAAGGTGTGGTCTGTGTAACCAGGCCACTCTACCCACTTGTCTTTTCTAGTCTTCTCTTGTTTAATGGGGGCTTTCTGTCTATGAGGTGCTGGGGCAACTGGCTCCATGCAGAGCCCATCTGCAACATGCACAGACTGTTCTCTAGAAGATTCTGGAGAGAGAAAGGAACACACTGAGCTCCCATAGCATGGTGACTGACAGGCGGTAACCTCATTTAACCTTCACTGTACCTTCAGGACACTGGTTACCATTGAGAAAGTCAATCGTTTAAGCAACTTGTCTGGAATTCTACCAAATAAAGGAACTGGGCCCCAGTCTGTCAAATTCCCAAGCTGACACTCAGGGGTAAAGTCATTCAACCAAGAGCCTGGAGATGCTGGGTTCTATCAAAAACTGGGCAATGTATCACTAAATCAGTTTTCTAATCTGCTAAGACTAGAGGTTGGGCTAGCTGGTAGTTAGTCCTTTCAAGACTAAAATTTCATAACTCTAAGATACACACAGCACAAAGAAGAAAACAAATCATGTCACCTGGAACACCGTTTAGAGATTTCTTTCAAATTACTTACACCAACAAGCTTGCTTTATAGAAATACATAGCTAGCTCATGTATTTACGTTTCTGCATTTACATCCTCAAGTGTATACAACAGAATTGCAGAGCATTAATTTTTTTAAGAGACTGCCATATTTGCATTTTATGATCATAAACAAATATTTGCTGAAATGTTCACTAGGAGCTTTATGCGAGACTAGGGGATCAAATTTATTTGTAATCTTTGTAGTACCTTTGCATTTGGAGACTGGAGCCAAAGAGAAAAGAGAGTGAGAGCATTAGGTCTTGATGATGTTTCTTCATACCCATTTTTCAGGCCCTTTTACACTCAAAATTACAATGCTGAGGCCCAGAAAATGAAACCTGTAAATGCAGCTTTAGGAAATGTGTTCACTGTTAGGAACAGCTGCCTGGCTAGCCTAGGTATATACTTCACTTCAGATTACGGTATGTTTTGAAAAGAAAACTCCACATTGCTTTACTGAAGTTTTATTTCATTCCAATAACTGCCTGATTTCCACAGAGAATTTGGAAACGTAATGCAGCTTCCCACATGCAAATGAATTTGAAATGACTCACTATCCTAATACTTACTAGTTGACATGGTTAGGTTAATTATGACATTCAGATACCTCAAACCTTTTTCTTGTACTCATGAAGCTTTCCATTCAAACCTAGTCAAAATTATGACTTCAACCGAGGAGAACTTTCTAGTAGTTGTTAGGTAGTCTTACAAAGATTCAAGGTGAAATATATAAAAAGTTCACGAACAATGGGTCATCCCTGACTTGAGTTTTCTCCGCCATCCCTCCTCCACACACCTCTAGCCTCCAGAGAATTATCAAGCTGTTGCTCTGGAAGGTTTAAGCTTCTATATTGGCTTATGGAGTACTTTCTACAATTCACAGTGCCACCGTGCTTCCCTAATTGTCCATCATTATTTCCAAAGGCTAAGGACTCTGCTGAGTTTGGTTTGGGAATGGGAAGAAAGACAGAGGTCTGGGAGGAATCCTGGCTTCCATCCTGCCGCCCCTCCTTACAAAAACCCACCCCAGGTGGCTGCACCGGCTGAGATCCTCTCCCCTAG